AGGTAAGGGGGCAGCGCGCACGGGGGAGGTGCGCACACAGGTAAGGGGGCAGCGCGCATGGGGGAGGTGTGCACACAGGTAAGGGGGCAGTGCGCACACGGGGGAGGTGCACTTAGGTAAGGGGGCAGCGCGCATGGGGGAGGTGCGCACACAGGTAAGGGGGCGCGCACACAGGAGAGGCGCACACACAGGTAAGGGGGTAGGGGTGGCACACGGGGGAGGTGCTGCTGCAGTGAGGAAGTCCCAGAAGCTCCTGGCTCTCACTCTGATTCCCTTTTGATTTTGTCTCCTGGTTCTGATATATCACCAACTGAAAAATCACATAATCCAGTTTCTTAGAACTTGGTCAAAAAGAAGGGGTTCTCAGGAGAGGCTTGGGGGCCCATGCTGCTGTTCTGGGGACCTGGGGGTTTGCTTTTGTCTCTCCCCTTGTTTTGCCACCAACGGAAAGTGCACTTCGCAAAAATAAATTCTGTGTAGTGCCTTTCAGTGCCTGTGGGAACATACACCCAGAAACAAAGCCCACGGGCTCTGGCCACTTGGTCCTGAGCAGAGTCTGCCCTCGAGAAAGGCGCAGGAGGAACATACGCTTACAGACGGATCCTTTTAGATGCTTTTGGTTCTCAAAAAAACAAAAGTATGGATTATAGACTTAAAATGAGCTTAGTTTTTATTCAGAAAGGAAAAGCCTTGGAGTTAAAAGAGAATGAAGCATTTAATGAAATTCAGACCTCATTAGTGGTATCTTACCAGGAAGTGATACGAATTCTTCTCAGAGAAGAAGAGCAGAGTTTGTATGACTCATTTCCAGATTCCTGTGGTTTATTATCCTTATTTCTAATTTGTTGGAAGACTATCTTTAGACAGATAACAAATGTTCCAGTATTCTGACATTTTAACACCCACATAGCAACAAGAATAAACTTTGATGTTAAATCCAAGATCTGTGGCTTCTGGGTTTAATAGAGAAACAGACATTAATAAAAAGTTTCCTCTCTCCATAGTATGTTTTAGAGAAATGTGCTAAGGAACCACTTCTCTACCACGCTGAAAATTGTCAGTTTATGTGGATCTGTACTACAGACAGGCTTTATGATGCTCCCTTTAAATGAGAAGATGAAGAAAAACAGTACAAGCTAGTCTGTTTCAAATTATGTAAGTTTTTAAGCGTCACGAGTGCTGGTTAGAATTGGATAAAATCATTGCTATGAAGGACAAACTTTCAAGGGAAAGACACGCTGAGGTAGGTGAGTGTGAAACTTAGTCTTTTTACACAGCAGGTGAGTTCTGACAGTCTTGCTGCCGATGCTGCTCACATGCAAAAGGAAAAGCAGGTAACCAGGAGAAGACCGACTGTCCACCCACAGACAGGAGAGCAGCATTGTCACCCAGAGCCCCCACACACCGTCTTCTAAATCGGCCAAAGGTGACCCTTACTTTGTGTTGCCAAATATCTTCAAATGAGTGGTCAAAGAATGAGTCTGGATTTTGTGCTTAAACCCCTGAACTCTATGAACAAAACCGAGGTAATGCAGCTGATGGAGGCCACTGGCCTCTGGGGTGTGACCAGCCCTGGGCACCCACTGTAATGTGGATCAGGAGGGGGCCCCGGCAGGATCATGACACCAGGACTTCTCACCAGGCCTGCGGCTGATCTGCAGTGTGGCCTGAGCCCTCGACCTGAGGGGCCAGCCGCCTCTGCTCCCCTCCAGCCCTCGCTGCCAGAACCCTGGGGCGGGGGGCAGGGAGGGCCCGGCCTTGCCCCCTCTTTGGTCTCCCTGATGCAGGAGATGCAGGTCCCTAGGGAACAGTGCCTCACTGAAGGCATAAAGTGGGCACCAAATATCAAATTGTGCTGCTCCCCACCTCACAAATGAGATCAGCTTAGAGGATGAACACAGACCTCACTTGGTGGTCTGTTCACCTTATTAACATGGCGGTGATGGTTTCTGCCCCTGTGGCAGCTGACACGTGGATTAAATAACACCAGCTTCTTTCAGTTTATTTTGAAAAAACTTCAGACTTTAATTTCTCCTAACTTGATAAAGAAAAACACTATTTAAGAGGACCCTGCCTTAATTATTTCTATGATACTTAATAGTTAAGTCTTGTTAGCTCTCGACTCAGAACTCGAATTTCTGGCTCTAAAAGTGCCCACTGCATTTAAATTACACCCTCAGTGTTTGGTTACATAGTCCCTGCATGACTCACATTCTACCAGAGAACCAAACACGCAGGCAGAAGTCCGACTCCACACAGCTGCCAGTGCTCCAATATTCACAGAGCTGAGTGTTTCCAAACCCTCGCTGGTGCCGGGCTGAGCCTGGCCCTGTCCAAGGAGCCTCTGGGTGCCCCAAATCAGGGGGACCTCGGGGCCCACTGGAGGCCAGAAGCTTTCACACTGATTATGAAATTTTAATTCCCCAGTTAGGAACATGAAAGCTCTTACTAGCTCTTCACTGAATCAGCTGTGATCTTCGTTAAGAAAAACATAAAAAGCAAACACAAGTGCGTGTCCTGACAAAGTGTCTGTAAAAAAGCAGCACATCCCAGAATCGTGAACCACACAGGCCAGCTCCCCCTACGGAGGGAAGGACCAGGAGAAGCATGGCAGCAAGGCCCACAGACTGTGTGCTTCTCCACGCGTGTAATGATGCTCACGACCAGACCCAGACATTCTCTGCTCTAGCTGGGGAGCCGCCAGAGAGAGCGGGGACCCGGTGTGATTCTGCTGGCCACTGCCCGGCAGGGGCAGGAAGGAGCGGCACCACCTGCCCCTGACCCCGCACACGTCCGTGCGCTCCCACCTCAAGGCTCCACGTCCCAGGGGAGTGTGCAGGCTATGCAGGGCCCACACGCTGGCTGTTCTCCTGCCTATTCAGCTTTAGGAGGAGTTGGAAAACAAATCAGCTTCTCCGTGCCTTTAACCACCGGTATCTATAAAAGGCCATTCACGGAATCTTCATCTTCTCAAAATGTGATAAGTAAGTGCAAATGCAGAAGCACTTTCTGTGTGTGTGTGTGTGTGTTTATGTGTGAGAGAATACAGTTTGTGTATGTGTGTGTGTGTGTGAGGGAACAGGGTTTGTGTGTGTGGGTGTGAGGGAATAAAGTGTGTGTGTTTGTGTGGATGGGAAAAGAGTTTGTGTGTGTGTGTGAGGGAATAGAGTTTGTGTGGGAGAGGGAATTGTGTGTGTGTGAATAGTTTATGTGTGTGTGTGTGAGAGGGAATAGTTGGTGTGTGGATGGGAACAGAGTTTGTGTGTGTGTGTGTGTGTGAGGGAATAGAGTTTGTGTGTCTGTGTGTATGTGAATAGAGTGTATGTGTGTGTGTGTGTAGAGTTTAAAAGCCAGGGAAGCCGGCTCAATTACAGAAGCAAACTCCAGGGACTCCAGCCCCTGGCAAACCTGAAGCTGGGACCAGAACACCTAGTCCCGCTTCCGCTCCGGGTCACACCAGCCTCACAGGTGGTTTCTGGGCCAGCCCCACCCAGAAGGCGCATCTCAGCTTCCTCCCTCACACTGCCTGCTCCAAGGCAGCCTGCCTTGGGGATGGCCCCCAGTCCTGCCAGGAACTTGGGCCTTTCCTGGACACCTCTGTCCCTCCCCAGCCTCCAGCCAGGCCTTCTGCACCTGCCTGCTGGTTCTGGCTCCTTCCCAGGCCAGACCCAGCAGGCGGGCAAACACAGGGACTAACTGCTCTCAGGACGTCCTGGGTGGGCTCCCAGACCGGGGCAGGGGTACCTGAGTAAGAAGCTGGTCCGCCGCTAGCTGGTTGATCCACCGTGTGTATCGCTCAGTGGAGTCGGGGGGCTCTCTCCTTACTTGGCAACCTATAATCTGTGAAACAACAAAAGAGAACTTAACAAAAGAAAGTCCCTGTGAGCTCACACACGCACACACCAGTGCACATACATCTCACCTGCTGTAAGCTGGCACATCCAGCAGGGAACTAACAGAGACCTGCATCCGATCAGGCTGGGGGAAACTTCCAGGAGGAAAGAGGAAGAGGGAGGGTACCCACACAGTGCAGGGTTCTGGGTGGACCCCACGCTGGACGGTCCTCACCTGCCAGTCCCAGCAGCACCCGTGAAATCACCCTGGGTTAGAGTGGTCGCAGATAATGTTTCCCCTTAATGCATTCAAATTACAGTGATCTGTTCACAAGGTCAAACACCCAACTACCTCAGTAGCGCTCTTCCTGAACCGCAACTCGCAGAGGGAGAGGGAGAGAGAATCTCAAGCAGGCTCCCTGCTGAGCGCAGAGCCCAATGTGGGGCTTGATCTCATGACCCTGAAGTCACGACCTGAGCCACAACCAAGAGTTGGAGGCTTACCAAGCGCCACCCAGGTGCCCCGATAATTTCTTAATAAGGAGACTGATTCGGTGACATAGATCTTACTAACCACTCTGAGGTAGACAGTGCGCAGTGCAGGGTCGGCTGTTAGCCATGCCCGGGCCCTTACAGGAACTCTGTGAGCCTCACCTGGGGTGGGTGGGCGACAGGCCCAGATACATGCAGTGGGGACCAGCCTCTTTCCACACCTCACTCAGACTCTGTAGGACGGGACCCTTCACCGCTGAGCAGTCTCAGACATCCCAAACATCCTGCACACAGACACTTGAACCGAAGTGCAGGTGCTGTCCCTAGATCTTGAGCTGTGTTGGAGGTGTGGCCAAGGCTGCTGGGGGCCAGGGGTGCTGAAGTAGGATGTGTGGTCTCTCTCCCTCTCCTTCTGCCCCCCCACCCATGTCCTCTCTCTAAAATAAATAAATAAATAAGCACATAAAAATAAATTATCAGAAGTTCCACCATGATCCTTGAATTTCTTAAATCTTGCTCTCTATAGCACTTATGCATAGTGATTAATTTGTATTAATGCAGGAATATTAATGAAGAGCCAAGAAAGATTTTGCTTGCTTGTATTTTTTTGTTGTTGGGTTCTTTTAATTAAACTTTTTTTTTTGAGAAAACAGTAGATTCACATGTAGTAGAAATAACACACAGCGATCCCGTGTATCTTTTACACGGTTCCTCCAACGGTAACATCTTGAAAAACCAATGCAAGTCACCCCCAGCTAAGGAACCCTCATGGCGCCTTTGCGGCCACACCCAGCCCTCCTTGAGCGGCAACCGTTTCGAGAACGCTGTGTCAACAGACAGGCTGTAGCCCTCTGCAACTGGCCGCTTCTCCATTCTCCAATTGCCCAAGACTTGTCCAGGCTGTTGTGCGTACGACACGTTTTCCTTGTTGGGCTGAAAAATACTGCCCAGCACAGACCCTGCAGCACACCGCTTAGCGCTCCACAGTGAACATTCACGCAGTTTTTGTGTGAATGTGTCCCCATCTCTCTGGGGCAACTGTCCAGGAGTGCGGCCCCTGGGTCGTACGGTGGTTTCACGTTTACTCTTCTAGGAGCTGCCCACCTGTTTTCTAGAGTGGCTACACCCACTCAAACTACCACCGGCCGAGTGAGTGACCTGGTTTTTCTGCAGCCTCACCAGCACCTGACATGGGCATGTTTTCAGGCCTGCGCAGACGCCGCATCACGGGTCTAACTTGGGTTCCCTGATGGCTCGTGGTGCCGACCCTCTTTCCATGGGCTTATCTGCCCCCGTCCGTCCTCCCTGGTGAAATGTCCCGTTTTCTGACTGGGATAAAGGCACACTTGGCTATGTGACTCACTGCTGGGTTCCCCCTGGGAGCCTGTGGATGACAGCAGCCGCTGGGTTAGCGCCCTGCCCGGGGTAAGGCCTCCCTGTGCCCACCCGCCCGGGACACACTGTTGGGGGTGTCTGCTGTCCTTATCTTCCGGTCTTGTCAAACTGGCATTTGCTGAACAGAAAAGATTCTGAGAGAAAACAGGAAAACGACCAAGAGCTGGGAGGTGCACTCACAGGTGGACCAAGGGGCTGAACTGCACCCTCGCCATCGCCCCCCCTCCCGCCTGCCACGCCCTGAGCCGCCACTGGGGGCAAGACGCCTGCTGCCCTGCCTGTCTCATCGAGGGGGGGCTCATGCGGCTCCCACAGGGAGTATTAGGACCCCCACCCAGGGCACACCGCACCTCCACCTGGGACCCCCGCCCAGGGCAGCCCGCCCGCCTCCACCCAGGACCCCCGCCAGGGTGCCCCTGCCCCCCCAGGCCCAGATCTGAGCTGTTCATGCTGCTCTCACGGTGAGTACCCAGGGAGGCTGCCCCCCCCAGCCCCCATCCCTCCCGTCCAGGCTTGCTGGCTTCTGATGAAATTAGAGCCCTGTGGCGTGGGGGGTCTCGCAAGGAGAAACAGGGCAGGTGGGAGATGGCGTGACGCGGGAACTTCTGGGGCAGCCCCTGCTTTGTGCCTTCGACTGCCGATTGTGGGGGTACCGGTCTACAGATGAAGAAGAGGGTGTCTGTGTGCGCCTCAACGCTTTTTGAAAAGAAAGTGGCCTGGCCCACGGGGCAGAAACCACGAGGCACCTTTTCCTCCTGAAGGGGCCCGGTGCAGACCACACACCCCGTCCTCTCTGGTGACGGCACAGGACGCACACTCAGTGTTTCACCCTACATGTGCTCTGGGTCACAGGCTGCTGACATGGGCCTGGCACCCTGGATGCAGTCGGCACTCAGCAAGCACAGGCTGAAGGAAGCGAAGGGCATGTGCTGCAGGACGCACGGACTCCCCCCAGATGCCGGGGAGAAGCCCCTAGAGCAAGACTCTCGGCAGGTGTTAGCTAGTTCTCTGAAAGCACGTACTGCCAACAGTTAGCAGAAAGCTCGAGATCCTGGAAGGCGGTCCCTACAGTCTGGAAACTCTGAATCTATATGGGAGCCTCTGAGACCTGCCAGTTTGGCTGGAAGAAAAGGTCAGAAAGTAGGAAAGAAGGTTACTGGAGGCAGAGGGAGGTCTGGGAGGTGGGATGACCCTCACAGTGGTCACCCGCCTGCTCTGCCTACAGCTGGTCTGGCCTGCGTCCCCTCCCCCTGAATCCGGGGGTCCCGAGACAAGGTCATAAAGGGGACATGGCCGCCAGCCCATTCTCTTGGGACCCTGTTTTTGGAAGTGGCTGCCAGGCGGTGAGGAAGCCATGAAGCCCCCAGGCGCCCCAGCCCCCCACCCAGCGGAGGCCCGGCAAGAGCGGAGCCCTTCCTGCGGTCCCGACCCGTGGGATCTGTGCATGTGATAAACGGCTGGCTTTCACACCCCTGGGTCTGGACGCTTCGTCCCCAGCCGCAGTGACTGACGGCCACAGGAAGGCGACACTGCATCATAGCTGTGTGGCCCTGTGGTGACAGACCCCTGATGCCCTGCTTCAGTCCCAGACCACCAGTGTCCAGGAGCGTAGGCAGCACTACTCGGCCCAGGACTGCTGTCTCGGACCCGCCGAGGGCCCCCATGTGGACGACAGGCTATGCGGCCACCCTGTTAGAGGGGGTCATGTTCGTTAGGCGATCTCATGTTCCTGGTCTCACGTGTTCGGGGACACACTGAAGTGGACCTGGGGTGGGGGGGATTCGTGCCGTCCACCCCCCTCCCAGAGAGGGCCCGGGTGAGGACCTTTCCCGGGTCACACAGCTGGCTCTGGGAGGCCCCCAGAGACGCCATGGAGTCGCCAGGCTGCCCGTTGGTACCGGCCCTGCCCGTGCTCTGCCTCCTGGCTCGGCCCATCCTTGCTTCTCCAGCACTGGTGCCCAGACCTCTGCAAGACAGCTCAGGGCGTACACGCGAGAGGCGGAAAGGCTCATTCCTCTTCTGCGTGGAGGCACGTGGCCTCTGTTAGGCACACGGCACGGTGGACAGACACACGTCAGGGGAGACAGAAGCAGGCCCAGCCTGGGGGTGGCCGCCTGTGGTCACAAAATATTTAATGGCGACATCAGTTTTCCTCTTATTCATCACATATAAGACATAATGTTTTCTACTTCCTATTAATAAAAAAGTAATTCGCTAGCTGATCAGTTTTTACCACCATATTCCTTTCTCACTGATTAAACGTCCCGGAAAAGCCTGATCACAGTATGAAGTTCACAGAACATAGTTGGTCAGGAGGGAGAGTCACCGTTGTATTCCCAAGGCCACCAGGAGAACTGAGGAAGAAACGGGGCCACGTACAAACTGTAAAGCTCCATGCAAACACCAGTCATCAAGGCAAACTCTAGTCGGAGGGTGAGACGTGGGAGAAACAAGAGCTTCCATCCTGCAGGCCAGCTGCACTTGGGGTGTGTGTGTGCGTGTGATCTGCGTGCATGCACACGTGTGATCTGCAGGATTCCTGGTGCAGGAATGCAGGACTGTATGCATGTGTGCACCAGCCTATAGGGGAGCCTGGAAATGAAAGCAGCGGAGGTGAGATGGGCATCCCCCAGCAGAGCCCACACGTAGTGGCCACGCCTTCAGTAGCCACAGGGCCTCCCCACAGCTCATCCACTTCAGCCCTCCCGGCGCCGCCCTGGGGAGGAATCTGGTCCAAAGGCTGGTGTCTCCCACCCTTCAGAGGTAAAGCCAGGGATGCCTGGGCTTACTCTCAGCTCTTCCCACGTGATCTCCCCCTGCAGGGCCTGAAGCACTAATCCCGTGGGTGGCTGGGGAGCACGGTGGGCATGCGCTCCACCCTGATTCCGGCCTCTGTGCACAGGAGGGTGAATCTGAGAGCAACAAGCTCATAATCACTCCTGTCAGTGACAACAAAAACACACAAGAGTGCAGATCTAGTTCAATTTAACCAGACTCTCAGTCACTGACAAACTGCAGTGTCCCCGCACGGGGCCAGAGACTGCCACTGGCCCCGAGCACCACAGCCCCGGCCGCAATGCCACTGGGAGGGACCTCCCTCTGCCTGTCCCGTCCGCGGCC